GAGCTCTACTAGCAACCCCTTTCTTTCTCTCTGCTCCAAGAGCTGCCATCTACAATGGAAAGTGGCAGAATCCTACCCACGAATCAGTAGCAATGTCATGATGGAAAGAAACAATTGTTTTCATTTCTTGCACAGAGAGTGAAGCCTGCCCGAGCTGGGATACAGCATCCCTTTCACTCAGGATCAGCCCCACTGCATCCACCCGGCATTCTAGGCACAAGCCCAGGGATGGCCTAGTCCTACGCCTAATGGTGTCTGCATTATAAAAATCAATCCCTCATGGAGGTTGGGTCCATCAATGGCTATTAGCCAGGAAGGGTAGGGATGGTGTCCCTCGCCTCTGTTTCTCAGGAGATGGGTGACATGGGAGGAATGACGTGAGGATTACCTGTGGTGTTCCCTCCCTCTGGGGCATCTGGTATTGGCCGCTGTTGGCCAACAGGATACTGGGCTAGATGGACAGGTGATCTGACCCAACCTGGCCGTTCTTACGTTCTTGGTACTTCTGTGATCAGCAGAGGCCAGAAAGACTTGAACCCCCAAGTCCCATTGCAACATGCTAGAGGCACACGGCTGGAAAGCACAACAGCCTGTTCCTCATCAATCAGCAGGGCTAATAACTCAGATGTGTTACCCCACAGTGACTAGCCTCCAAAGGACTGGTTCCCCCTTTGAACCTACACAGCACAAGGGGTCACCTGGAGGCATTCTCCTGCCCTCTGCGCAAAGCCCCCAGTAGAGACCAGCAGCTCCATGGATACTTTGTGCATGGAGGAAGAGAAGCTCAGAGAGCAAAGACTCTCTTCCACAGCCATAACCTGCCCCTCCTCTTGCAGCAGTGACCAACATAGGGCATGTGGGCTCTCAGCAAAGCCAGCTGAACAGAAGAGGGGTTTAAGAACAGACTATGGCAGAATCACAAAGCGATTTAGAAGGCACAGAAAACCCCACGCGAAACTATTTTAAGGAACAATCCTGGGTTACAAGCTTAGCAAACCATGGTTTTTCCCCCTGATCCTCTTCCCCACCCCAAGCCAAGTGGAAGGTGGGAAAGTCACTGCAGCTCCCCCCATCCAGTGAGTTACGTTGATGCTGTTCACCCCCAACTCCACAGCCAGGCACAATGGCAAGAAGTGCCATCACCATTCAGTGCTGCCCCCAGCACCCAGGGCTCTGCCCACAGGGCTGGCTCATGCATAGCTGTCTTGCAAACACAGGAAACCAGGCCACTGAAACTCCAGATTGAACTTCAGACCAGGGCAGGTGTCTCTGGGCATCAGCTAGGGAACACGCTGCACAAAGCCACCACCTCAAGCTGTCCCATAGTCTGTCCACACGGACAGAGAAACATTGTGTCCCACTGAAGCTGTCCCCTCTAACAACAAAGCTAAAGGCTGAAGGAGCTGGGTGCTTCTGAATTCGGAGACTTAGCTGGCCCTGCATTTTCAGGGTTTAAGCACCAGCTCCTCAGCCTACACCATCAATGCCCCCCTCTTCGGGGGAAGGTGCTGTCCTGTGCCACCCCTTTGTCCTCAGGCAGCCCCCAGAGACACAGCCCACATGCAGTAAATACCCAGTGGCAGGGCTGGCCTTCGGGAGATGGAGCGAGAGGACAGACAAAATTCAGCAGGTCTCCGACGTACCCCCCACCTCCGCCCTTGCCCAACTGGGCAAAGCAGGGCCTCTGCCCTGGCACAGACTGCTGGGCACACAGACAGGAGGGAAGGGCCGGGCCAGGCTAGCAGAGGCCTTAGGGAACAAGGGGTCACTCCAGCCAAATGGGGACTGGAAACAAGGCAGGAGCCCTATGCAAGCCCCGTGCCCCAGGGCCCCAGCCAGCCCGCTGGAGGGTGGGCACACCTCCCCCTGCAGGGACTGGAAACAAGGCAGGAGCCCTATGCAAGCCCCGTGCCCCAGGGCCCCAGCCAGCCCGCTGGAGGGTGGGCACACCTCCCCCTGCAGGGACTGGAAACAAGGCAGGAGCCCTATGCAAGCCCCGTGCCCCAGGGCCCCAGCCAGCCCGCTGGAGGGTGGGCACACCTCCCCCTGCAGGGACTGGAAACAAGGCAGGAGCCCTATGCAAGCCCCGTGCCCCAGGGCCCCAGCCAGCCCGCTGGAGGGTGGGCACACCTCCCCCTGCAGGGACTGGAAACAAGGCAGGAGCCCTATGCAAGCCCCGTGCCCCAGGGCCCCAGCCAGCCCGCTGGAGGGTGGGCACACCTCCCCCTGCAGGGACTGGAAACAAGGCAGGAGCCCTATGCAAGCCCCGTGCCCCAGGGCCCCAGCCAGCCCGCTGGAGGGTGGGCACACCTCCCCCTGCAGGGACTGGAAACAAGGCAGGAGCCCTATGCAAGCCCCGTGCCCCAGGGCCCCAGCCAGCCCGCTGGAGGGTGGGCACACCTCCCCCTGCAGGGACTGGAAACAAGGCAGGAGCCCTATGCAAGCCCCGTGCCCCAGGGCCCCAGCCAGCCCGCTGGAGGGTGGGCACACCTCCCCCTGCAGGGACTGGAAACAAGGCAGGAGCCCTATGCAAGCCCCGTGCCCCAGGGCCCCAGCCAGCCCGCTGGAGGGTGGGCACACCTCCCCCTGCAGGGACTGGAAACAAGGCAGGAGCCCTATGCAAGCCCCGTGCCCCAGGGCCCCAGCCAGCCCGCTGGAGGGTGGGCACACCTCCCCCTGCAGGGACTGGCACCCCCGAGGAAGGGGAAGCGAAGGGGCAGGCCGGGCCCACGGGGGCGGGCCCCTCTGCAGGGGCAGGCCGGGCCGAGCACTCACCGCCCGTGATTTTCTGCAAGCCCAGGACGTCCTCGGGGCCGATGAGCGGCTTGCGCAGCAGCTCCTGCTCCTC